ATTAAACTGGACTGTAGCCAACTTATTGGGCTTTCCATGACTGTGACTGCCTGGGGGATTTTCCGTTTTTCTCCTAAAATATGCAGTTGTATCCTGCTCGGCTTTTCCGCTGCGGCTGCCTGATTGTCAAGTGACGGACAGATGTTGATGTGTGTGTTTGTGGGCGGTCCCTTCACCACTTACATCCGCATCACCCAGCATCCACCAGCGTCAGGGCCAAAGCGTTTTGTGAATGCTTAATTACAAATTTCGCTCATGTTTGGGCGCCGACTTTCGGGGGTCGCCTTATCTTGGCAAATATTTGAGAGAGGCGCCAGCAAAAGCGTTGACACTCGGTGCCCTGTTGACTCTTGTGCCACCCACACACTGCACACACTGCACACACGGAATACACACATCACACACACTCTATACAGAGAGTGCACATCCAGCCAAACACACTTTACAAACTTATACAGCGAGCGTGAAATCAATGGGCAAATGCCAAGGGAGACAATGCCAAACCAGGAGAGAACAAATAAAATAATGTATCACACGGAAAATTTGTATTTTTTCTAGTAAATTTCCTTTTGCCACGGAAAAAATATTATAATATGTATGTATTTTACAAGTCAGTGAAGAAAAATTGATGAAATGAACATATAAAATGATTTAAGCTAAAAGTTAGCCAAGCATTATAAGGTTTAAGTAAGAAGTAGAAAGATGGGAGTATAATTTTGAGAATCAAATTAATTTTTATGTATTTATTACTAACCTAAACAAGAAATTATTGGTAGGATTCCTAAAACTTGTTACTAATAAGAAGATTACTATTTCTCCCTGAAGAGCTCCAAATTATACTTCAAATTCCAATAAAATTAATAAAAGCTTAATCCTAATTTAATTCCAAATCAAAAAACCGTGAAAATTTCTGACTGTGCTCACAAACTTTTACGACATTAAGTGGCAACGTCCAGAAAGCACTGGAAATCCAAGCATTCCGTCATAAAGAACAAGGCAAAAAATATGAAACAAACAAACAAGATGAAGATGTGGCAGTACAGAAAGCTTTTAAGAGCCATTGGAGTGGGGAAAAGTGGTTGGAGAAAATGGGGAAAAGTACTGCCCCGAGCAACCGTTAAGCATATGTGTCAAAATCGAAGACATTTCCTAATTCCCTTCAATCTTATTCGCATCTCCACGGTGTTGCCTGGAGACCCAAATCAATGAGCGGCATCAGCTGTCCATCAAAGTTTCGACGAATTATCCCGGCTAATTGAATGGAGTTACTTATATTGAATTACCCATGGACTTGGTCTTAAAGAGGAACCCTCTGCCCATCAACGCAATAAAACCCAGGAGAATTGTGGCGAGAAAAGTTTCGAGAGGCGTCAAAAACGAGCTCAACGAAGCCAAATGTCAGGGAAACGAAAAGACAGAAAATTTCGTAAAAATAATACGAAAAGTGTAGGGGCATTTTCGCAACAAGCCACAGCAATTAGGCAACCAGAGAAGCCAAAGGCCAAGAATTTCCACATGCACAAGGTCCAAGTGAAAATTGCCGAGAGTACAGAGGAAGTGGCAAGTGGAAAATGGAGAATTAGAAAATTCCTCTAGGAACTGGCAGAAAAACCCATTTAGCTTTAGTTTTTTTGCCTGTCGTTTCTGTAACTCTGGTTCTTGGTCTAAACCGCAAGTCATATTCGATTTTATTTTTGACTGTGTTTTGATGGCACTGGGACAAGGGAAAAAAACAAGAAAATTTTCCATTCCATACTGTTGTTTATGGTTGTATGAGATTTTGATTGCCTGTTTCGGAATATTGGCCATACGCAGCTCGTGTGCCCGTGACAAGTGTTCAATTATATGTGCTAAAGAGTGCCTCCAGCGGCAATGCCGAAGTCCTTGGTGATTGCTTCCGGTTTTTGTTATTGCGGCTTTCTCTGGTGACGACATTTTTTCTTTTTTAAGAGAGGTATTTCACAGGACACTTACAACGAAAGTCAAGAAGTATTAGAGATAGGTTTTCTATGCTCTTTAAGTAATATATTTGCGAGAAAATGGTAACATCTCGATTATAATATTCTCAAAAGTACAGAATTATTAAAGATTCTTACTTGAGATATTATATTATTCAATTAATTACTAACAAATGACTTTAAAGCATACAAAATATTATAAATTTAAGCACTGATTACTGGGTATTTTCAAGTTGGCTTACTCCTGTCTATAATTTCGCTTTTCTCTTTTATTATTCCCCCTTCTTTTTTTTTTTGGAAGGAGAGAAATTTCCCCGCTAAGTAGGAACTTAAATGTTTGATACGAGTGCGTGCGTGCGAGTGTGTGTGTGTACTGTTGAGCTTCAAAACCGGATATCCGCCTTCGCCAAACCCTGCTTCCTGGCACCGCAAAAAAAGAAAAATAAACCTCAACTTAAAGTGAACCCGGTCAGCAGCACGTGGCAGTTGTTACCTTCTGGCATAATTTTCCACTCCCATCCCCAGCGATTTGCTGAAAATGTGTGCCAGAGCTTTTCGTTTCATAAATTTACAACGGTGGATCCCAACCGCACTGGGCCAAAGGGCTCTCCCGGGCTCACCAGAAACATTTCCGGGCAGCGAAATGAGCCAGTACACACATAGAGGGAAGCCACATCAAAAATGGGGGTCAGATACAGTACGGCACATACTGTATGCTCATTATATGGCCCAAAGCCAAAGAAGGAAAGCTGAGGATTGTGTGCACCAGTTGGCCCTGTTTGGCTCATGTGTCCCCTCATGTCCTGTCCTGTCCTGGCTGGAGGACATACCCAAGATGTAATTGTACTTGGCCTCAGAAGTGGCTTGAACTGCGGCTCATTGGGTGCATAAAAAAGGCAACACAGGGATCTTATCTTGCACAGAGAAAAAGTAGGGATATATTTATTAATTATAATTTCTAGACGGAAAATGTTTCTGTTTAATATCTACAAACGCTTGTTTTCTTCTTTTTCAAAACCTTTTTAAACCTTAACCTTTGTAACCCTGAATCCGATTAAACTTTAAACAAATTATCACCGTTTCAGTTGGCAGATAATCAGACATCGGGCCATTACAACACCATGTTTGGCTAATGGCCTGGCCACAATCAAACCTCAATTTGTATGGACAATTGCTAGCAGCTGACGACTGTCAAAAGGGCGTGGCTCTGTGTAATTAAAATAGGGGGAAGTGAGAAGCAGACATTGGGCAGTGTCGAGCTGATTATGTGAAACCATTATGCGGTTTGTAAGGGGGGGTGGCATTAATAATGCAACAGGCAGTGGTCGCGATGGCTTCATTAGATCGCTTAAATGACGGTTTTGTGTGTGTATTTGTCTGGTGTTGTCTATTAAGCGGCAAGTGTTGTTCCTTGTCTGCGGTCGAAGGATATGCTGCCATTGCCAGGCACTTGAGATGAGCAGACCAGCAAACCTACCCTTATATATATATATATATAAATATGTATATATTTGTATATAGCTGCCCCTGGTTAAGATATTCCAATGTTCCTGTCATCGTCAACAAGTCCTCGCACTTACGTGACCGGACCGCAACTTTAATGGCATTTGACACTGCCTGTACTTAGACCCTAAATTGAGAAAAAAAGGGAGTATAAAATAATACAGAAAGCAAACAAATTACTATATCTAAGTTTCCTATATTTGTAAGTATAATATTTACTTTATATTACACTATAATTTTTCCAAAATAAACCTCTGCAAAGAAAATTAAGTTCTTTCCACCATTTCTTTCAGTGTTTACCAAAACTTCCGTAATGGCTGGCATACGGTGCGTATTAGTTACATTAGTTGGAGACCAAATGAGACATTGGGACACATTTGTTTATTGCTTTACTTCTGCGTGTTTGCATTGTAATTTTGGTATATGTGAGAGGCAAATCTTGCAACGAAATCCAATTCAATTATGAGCCTCAGTACACATGCTGGAAGTATCCAAATATTTGAGCTATATATACAGCCCTAAAGATACCAAGTCTTTATATAGCAAAAGTTACATTTATTTGGCGCTAATTCAATATGCATGACAAGGATTAATTATCAATATTGTGGTAAATTTATACTGGTAATTACCAGCATCCAGAACCACTCTTAAACTTCTTGGAATGTCTTCCCAAGTTTTTGGTGAGTCAGCAGGCCAGGACTAAGCCAAGTCAAACGGCATAAGCCCTGGCCTTGCCAAAAAAATCTACGTCTCAGAAGGACTTAATCACTGTAATGGAAGTTTGGGTCAGGCCAGAGCCAGCAGCAGCAGCAGCAGCAGCAGCTTACAAAACCGAAAAACAAGATTTTGTGCTTGAAATCACAAACAAAATAGGACACAAATATATGAATGGGGGAAAAGCTAAAATTGTATTATCACTCCTCATGGCTGACAAAACATTTGGGCCCAATGCCCAGTAGATTTATTGCCGGATAACCGGACCGACACTCCAAGTAACTTGTCACTTGGCCTAGACAATGAGAAAGTAACTTTTAATTAAATGCGAAACTGGCAAGCTGCAAGCTTGCCACTGAAAGTTCAACTGTGATTGCATATAGGCTTAACTTGGAGTCGCCAGGATTCTCCATATTTCCTCATTTGTCTAATGGAATTACGTCAACAGAATGCGTGTGGGACTTTGGCCAAGTTGCCACATATCCTTTTTGCCATCAGGCTGTTGCAGCAATTTGCGGCCAAAAACGATGAAAGCATCTCGTTATGTCGCATGCACAAGGGTCGTATGCTTAATATTGATTACAAGTCAGTTGAGGACATTTGCCTGACAGCAATGCCTGTAGTTGTTTTCTGGCAAATGGTCATGACATTTCTTTCCCCCATTTTCCGCTCTCCATGTGGAAATTTAACTCTGAACTGCATTCCTTTCGTACCAATGCTTTGGCATTTTTGGAATTTCAGTTGCCAAAAATTGAGCTAAAATTACATTTGTCATCGTGAAATTATTTTTGATTCTCGCTAACGCTTTTGTTTATTACATTGCAGGTGAAATATCAACCGCAGCACGCAGTTTGCATATTTAAATATTGGAATTTCGTAGAGGAAATTTTAATGAGACGACTGCGGAGAACCGAAGGCGAGGTGGACCAGTGAGTGGGCAGGACAGGGCAGGAGCTGCTGCCAATCAAAACGGAGTCGCTGGCCAGGACTCCATCCAACCGAAAAGCCAACCATCTGACCGGCTCATCATTGACACCATGGTCACGAACATGTCGCAGCCGCATTATTGCGGCACAGGCATCGATGATTTTCACACAAAGTGAGTATGGTGTACGGGAAATGGGAATGGGAGTGAAAATGGGGACCAGCAAGGACATGTCGGGGGGATGTCTGCATATTAATTACATTTTTAAATATAATTTGCATAATGATTACTGCCTGGCGGCCGAGACGTGCATAACGAAATCATGTGTGTAATTGCCTCGGGCTTACCAAGTGCAGCTAATTCAAGGATGCTTGGTCATTAAATTGAGGTTAATAATTTTAATTGAGAGCAGAGTTAAGAGGTTACGGAAGCCATTAATTAATATGTAATATTCTCTTATAATAAATTTTCCAATTTATCTGATTGGGGTAGACATTTTAATTTATGTCTCAGGATTTTCCTTGTTTATTCACCCATAAATAATAATATAATCATATCAGGAATGTAAATTTTAAGCCATATGCGACTATTTTTTTTGTTGAATGTATGAATGTATTAAAGATCTTAAATAGAAAAAGTATTTAAAAAAATAATAATTCTTTTTCTAAATCCCCTTTCCTCCTCAGCTACAAATACTTCCATGGCTACTTTTCGCTTATTGTCTGCATCTTGGGCACCATTGCGAATACCCTAAACATCATAGTCCTAACCCGAAGGGAGATGAGATCCCCAACAAATGCCATACTCACCGGTCTGGCAGTGGCCGATCTGGCTGTGATGCTGGAATATATTCCCTATACGGTCCACGATTATATACTCAGTGCTCGGTTGCCGCGGGAGGAGCAGCTGAGCTACAGCTGGGCCTGCTTCATCAAGTTCCATTCGGTGTTCCCCCAGGTGCTGCACACCATCTCCATTTGGCTAACCGTAACACTGGCTGTGTGGCGCTATATAGCTGTGAGTTATCCGCAACGGAATCGGATCTGGTGCGGAATGAGAACGACGCTAATCACCATTGCCACGGCCTATGTGGTGTGTGTCCTGGTGGTATCACCGTGGCTGTATCTGGTAACAGCCATAGCCAAATTTCTGGAGACACTGGATGCGAGTGGCAAGACCATAGCATCGGTGCCATTGAGTCAGTATATTCTGGACTACAATCGGGAGCAGGAGGAGGATGTGACCATGCAGGTCATGTCCAGTACAACGCCGGATGTCTCCTGGGCAATGCCAAGTGCTTCAGCCAATGGTACAGCCGTCAGTTTGCTGACCCTGACTACAGTGGTGCCTCTCACGAGCTGGACACCGGGCACAACTCCTTCCATGATGGGGGAACGTAACGTGACGGTCTATAAGCTATATCACAGTGCCTTGGCCCTGCACGATCGACAGTTCAGGAATGCCACTTTCCTCATATACAGTGTCCTGATCAAGTTGATACCCTGCTTCGCCCTGACCGTACTCTCGGTGCGGTTAATCGGTGCCTTGTTGGAGGCGAAGCGAAGGAGGAAAATCCTTGCATGCCATGCGGCCAACGATATGCAGCCAATAGTCAATGGAAAAGTGGTGGTGTCACCCACACAGCCCAAGAGCTGCAAGTTGTTGGAGAAGGAGAAGCAGACGGATCGAACAACCAGGATGCTTCTAGCGGTGCTTCTACTCTTCCTAATCACCGAGTTCCCTCAGGGGATTATGGGTCTGCTGAATGCCCTCCTTGGCGATGCCTTCTTTCTGCAGTGTTACCTAAAGCTGAGTGAGTATGCCTTCTACTCCTTCTACTGAAGTTAAAAAACCCCCCTAATTGCTTTATTGGCTATGATAATTGACTGAATTTATGGCTAGTATTTTCGTGATGGCCCAGCTGGCCATCAATCATACGCACCGTTGACTCCCATAATTGCACCACAAAATTCGAGGCCTTGGCCTTGACTCTGCCATGGCAGAATAAACTTTTTGTTTACTTGGTAAACTGGGAACAATTTCTTACAATTTTATTTATGAAAAATATAATTTTGAATATATTCTTTCCCACAAATTTCAATTTGTTTAAGTTTCTAAGTAAGGCTTAATGTTCAAACGGGATTCCCTTTAAACCTTAAACTTTTCCTAAAGTCATGCCCGACGGAGGGCGGTTTTGTAGTGTGTTGGTGTCTTCACACTTATTTAATTTCAATGTCCCTTTGCAGGTGACCTAATGGACATCTTGGCACTTATTAATTCGAGCATCAACTTCATCCTTTACTGCTCGATGAGTCGCCAGTTCCGTAGCACATTTGCCCTGCTCTTCCGGCCTCGCTGGCTGGACAAGTGGTTGCCGCTTTCGCAGCATGATGGTGAAGGACGCGGCGGGGGCAGCGGTTATGGTTATGGATACGGCGGCGGCGGAAGGCAGCGATTACTACACACGGATGCCGCCAGCAAGAGCATGGCCATCGATCTCGGCCTGACGACGCAAGTGACGAATGTGTAGCACGAGAGCAGCGGCCGGGCAGCAGTGTCAACCGCAGCGCCGGCATCATCCACAGTAGCAGCAACATCCACAGCAGCAGCAGCTGCAGCAACATCTGCAACATCAGCGACTGAAATTGATGGATGTGCTGGCGCCACTAACGACATCAGCCTGGTGGAAGTGCTGCACGCGCAGCCTGGCCAAAAAAGAGGAGAGGTTTCAGGTAGGAATGCTATGAGTCATAGTAATTTTGTATATAAGAAATTCCATAGGTTTGCAGTAGTTCTCAATATAAATCCTACTATTTCTTTAGTTGCCAGCCAGAATCGAAGACGTCGCAGTGGCAGTGGCAAATGCATTTGGCCCACCACGGAGTGGCTAAGAAAGTTGCGCCATCAAAAGGCACACAAGGATGCCGATGCCTGTACTGATAACGATATAGAACTAGGCAGGACCACTATCAATAGACGCAGCAGTGTCCTGTTAATGGTCCTGCTTAGCAGTTCCGACGAGGTCAAGGCCAAGGCCGTTCTGGTCAGTGATCAGCATCAGCAGGCTAGCAAGCAGCAGGAGGTGAAACTGGACGAGGACGTAGAGGATGCCATCGATGCTCTCTGGCTGTGAGATGTTCCAACCCTCTAGCACTTAACTACCCTCTTAGAAAAAGAAGAAAAAAAAACACAAAAACAATTCCTTGTAAATGAAATCCCCACTAATAGCTAACTACTGTGTACAGACCAATTAATTAATCAAACAAATTGTTTATGGCTGCTCCCTACATATATATATTTTCCTGCCGCCGCGTTGCAGTTACGGATTGTGAGCCCCTCTTCGTTTCGGCTTCGCTCTGCTGGAAAATCAAATGGAAATTCTATGATTTCCCTCGGGGAGCAGTTTTGAACACTTTGTGGCGACACCCACACACATTTGATAAGTGATATTTACTTGACTAAGTTTTCCTCGATAAATAGTTGTGTAAGTGCAAGTGCAAAGCGCATCCTTCAGATACCAAAATTGAAACGAAATTAGCTATAGTCCAACTATGATATAAGGTGTATTTGTAACGCGAACGATTCGGTAGGATGAGAAGAGATCTAATTTCATTTTCTACTGAAATATATATGTTATTTGATGGTATAAAATTATTAATTGCTCTTGTAGGGAGGGAAAAAACAAGATAAAATCAGGGTAAGTACTGAAATCCCTTTCCTTGAGGGATATTTCAAAGCTTAAGTTTAATTTCCAAGTTTTTCCTTTTAAACATTTTAATGTTCCTTGCCAATAATTTATATGAGCTAATTGTCTTTCATTTTGCTGCCTCGAATTGGCATTTAATTTAACGTTGAATTTAATTTTCAAGCCATTTGCCGCTAGCAAAAACTCTGTGATTGGCACTTAAATATCAGGCACTCGACGTTCTTTGGTCCTCTGGCCCTTTTTCGGTCCTTGTCACAATAAGGACGTGGAAAATAAACGGACAAATGACAGTAAAAAGCGACTAAAAAGCAAATGGCAGCGTCAAGAGCTGCGTTGATTAATTGTAATTTTAATCAAGGGGCCGAAGCGAATTTGTCAGCAACATTCGAGAGACAAAGGGAAAGAGATCGTGGAGACCAAACTGATGACCCAATTCGAAGTTGTTAATGGCCGGCCATTTCATGGCTATGATGTATGACTTAGGATTGCCAAAGGGAACATCATCATCACCCGGAAGTGCGCCGAATCGATGGAGAATGTCACTCTGCCTCGAAATTAGAAAACGCTAAGTGTTCATCATTCATGCAACACAATGTCCCGCGGGTCCTGCCATCCATTTTGATAAAAGACCTCTAAAATAAGCAGTTGGCGGAGCAGATGCGGGCAAGCCATTGTCCTGCATAAATTTTTAACGTTAATTAAACTCAAATTAGGCTACAAAAAATGCATAAATTTAAGATCTTAAAAACGGCGTAATTTTTGTTACAGATTAATTTAAAATTTTCCGCTCAATTGGATTGATTTGACTTTGCATTTAAGGCTTTTTTTTATACCCTTGCAGGGTATTATAATTTTAGTCAGAAACTTGTTACGCTATGAAGGAGTCATTTCCGACCCTATAAGCCATATATATTCTTGATCAGCATCAAAAGCCGAGTCAATCTGGCTATGTCCGGACAATATTTTTTTTTTTTTTTAATTTTTAAAATTTTATGAGGGGTTACATCGTCTAAATTGTAAAAAAAATTCGAAAAAATGTTCCTTTTTTTAAATTGAAAAATAAGTATGCAGATTTATTAACCTATTAAAAACTAACAAAGAACTGCTATCCAAAGCAAAATCAATTCATTTTTGACTTAGTTATGAGTTTTTTAAACATTGATTTTCGAAAAAAAATCATATAAAAATTTGTATCAATATCTAGTTAAAGAATGAGAACATTTCCAATACGATAATACAAATAAATTGTAAACTGCAAGGGTGTATAAACTTCGGCTTTCCAAAGTTATTTTACTTTCTTCTTTTATCTGTTTTATCTGTTAAATTGAAGCATTGCAAAAAATTAATACATAATTGAGCGAGCAAGCAATGTTGATTGAAATTTTCATCAACTCAATTATGTAAATGATTGGAAATGAGGTAAAAACAGGAAAAATATCAAATGAAATTGGATAATTGATGTGTCCACAAAAAATTACCTTTATTGAAAGCATTTGATTGCAACTGAAATGAAAGTAAATTACTTATAGATTATGATTTCATAAAGTTGCAAAGTTAATTAAAGAATGTGGTTAACGGCTTACACCAGACTGCTGTAAGGATTAACACAACCTTGTTTCAACTCTTACACTAATATTTTCCTTGGCTGAAATGCAATTAGAAACCATTTTATGGCTGCAATTCAATAAAACCAAAGCTTTCGGTATTTGCCTTAAATTACAATCAGTGGGCCATCTGTAAATCCCAAATTGTATTTACAATTTGCAGACACACACATACGAGGGGAGATGAAATGAAATAAATACAACGAGGCCCTGCTGAATCAATAGGATCTATCTTTTTCTAAGGGATAGCCACCTAAATGGCATTGAGTATGAATGGGTTTATGATATGGTGGCACTCTTACAAACACACAGAGTGGATTTAAACCCGGCCAATTCACTCTATATTGGTAAGAGCACTGAAAGGTATTAGGAGTACTTTAATATACCTAACCGGTTTTATTTAACATTTTTATGACAATGAAACATTGTTAATTTTTAAACATTTTAAACTAATATACTAGTTGAATAAATATTCCCACAATATTAAGTCACTTTTCTCTCTGTACAGCAAATGCAACGAAACTCAATTTGCAGCTCTTTTCAGAATGCCAAGGAAGAGCGGAAGTGGTGTGCCGGATACGAAGGACGTTGAGAGAGGATGAAATAAGCGATATAAGCGAAAAACTAATCAAAGGGGTTGGGTACAAGCCCCAGTATCCGTAGGATCAAAGGACAAGAAGGGAGGACTGACTGTCCATCACACGCTTACCACTGCAGAGTTTGTGGTTTTTGGTAAAACAGTAAAACTTTACCCAGAATTGAGGTCATTTTGGGGTCACTTTGTTGTTACTAGAACTTGTTGAATACTGTAAAATAATAAATATAAATCAGCAATGAAAAAGTTTTCCTCCCATTTGAATATATAACTAAAGCAACGAGGAACTGAGGGAACCAAGATAAAATTGCACAACTCGTTTTGCTTTATTTTTTTATAGATAGCTTTTAAAGGTATAGAATATTTTCAAAACAGATTCCAGATAATTAACTCTTACTCTTTAACAACTTGAAATTTTAAATACAATTGAAATATTCTCCGAATTATTTAATGTTAAAATTTTCCACATTTTCCAACTCATTTCCCTTTGCATACAAGCCAAAAAACTTTTCCAATTTATGCTTGTACTTAAATTAAAGCTAAATATTATTCTTTGAACTCATTGTAATATCTAATAATTATAGTAAGCTATAATTAAACAACTTATCTTTAATATTTTGTGGCGTGTAAACTTTTCCAATAAATGAGCAACTCTCGACCATTTCCAAAAACTAAACTCCTAGCTAATTATTAAACTACTAGGAATAACCCCTGGGGCAACAATTCAAATTAAAAATCTCTCCCTACGAAATATGTAAATATTCCACACCAATTTCCGCTAAATCATCATCAGCAGAAGCAGCAGCATTAATTATAAAACAAGCTGGGCCAGCCAGGGATTGCTGCTCGCAGGCAAATTTCAAATGCAATTGCTACAAATTTCATTGAATTAAGCGCACATCAAGGCCGAAAGGCCCAGCCCAGCCCATCCCTAGTCCCTTTAGTCCCTCAGTCCATCAGTCCTTGGCTGTGAAAATTTTCGGCTGTTTAACAATTCCCAAAATGTGCGCCAGTTGGCGGTGGCCAAGCAAAAAGGCAAGAAAAAAATTAGCATAATTGCTGGGAGAGGCGGCAACGTTGGGCGAAAAGGAAAATTCTAATGAAATGGCAGAAGCACCCCTCTCTCTCTCCCTAATTACAGTGTAATTTATGCTCGCCCCAATGTGTGAACATTTTTGCCATGCAATTGCACGTCAAATTTTGATGGATTTCATTTCGAAAAGCTGTCTATCGTTGCCCACGTTCTGTTTTTGTCTCATCATTGGGTTCGTTAATGTATAGCCCTGGTCAGCATAGTGATTCAAGTGGGGTTTCCCTGTAATTTTATTTTGGTCATTCAATGAAAATCATATTTCGGGGGATTATTATGTATTACATACATTATATGTATCTCCTTTCAGGGACTGGAGGCATTGCAGAGGCTTAAACCTTACTTTAAATGCCAAAAATATGTTTTGGGACTTAAAAAGTTTGAAAACTATATAATTTTTAACAGATGCATATGTAATGAAATACCGGAAAACCCCAAAAATGTTATATAGAAAGCTAAAACACGCTAACAGGAAATATTTGTGGCCCGCTTTTCACATTTATGCGTGCTTCAAAGCAATTTCCATTACGTATACGCAGTGTTGGCCACGGTTATTTATGCCAAGTCGTTAGCTGAAAACCCATTGACACCTGCGGCTCTTGACGCCCCCTCATAATATATACTTTCAGTACTTACAAGTTAAATTTTTTTGTCACATGCCAGCACCAGCAAAATATATAAATTGAAAATATAAACCGGCAAATATCGCACACACTTGACGATGATTGATAGCGGTGAAACGCCAAGAAACTTGCATACATTTCCTTGATATTCATTTTAAACACTTAAACATTAATCAAATTTCCAAAAGTAAGGCTGGGCAAAAGGCTTATTTAAATTGCTCACGCAACCTGAGTCTAATGCTCGTCGAATAAATACGCAAAAAGTCCAAATCGCAATAGATTTCCCCCACTGCTCAGGGGTAAAAACAAACAAATTCCAGTAATTTGTCAACAAAGTTTGATAAATGTTTTAATTATGGCCCACGCCTCAGTTGGAGGCCAATCGAAGGAATATTCCATTGCGCAAGTTTTTCCCTTTTTCGTTTTTTGCTTTGTCAAGGTGTCGAAAGGGTCAGGATTTACAAAGGGCGAGAAAATGAAATGAAAATGTTTTCCTTGCAAGATTAGAGGAAAAAAACAACCCGAGTGGCCAACCTTTTGAAGTGGTTCATTAGTTAAGTGAGTGAGACATTTGCTATCAGCGGCAGACCAGAACTCCCGATCTGATCGGCATTTTTGGCTAAAACGTCCAGCGTGGCACGTGGAGCGTTCGCGACTGATTTTGTTAAATTATTCAGCTTAAGTCGGATAAATCGGCAGCTAGGTGCCTTTGGCCACAGACACAGAGATATAGTACTGAATTTATGCCGAAATATTTTCGTATGGTTAGGCATTTGCATTTGGCCTATGGAAATTGCGAAATATTTATTTGGCAAATCAGAGTCGAACCGAACACGCTGCCAGACGAGTGCACGTGCCATTGGTAATTGATTGATTGTAAGCAAACACAAGGCAACAGCTGACAAGATAAGCAAACAGCAGAGAAAGTCAGCCATCAGCCAGCAGCCAGCATAATCCCGAAAATTTGTTGTAACATTTTCAAATTCCATTCAGACATTTCTATCATTTTG